GTTGCCCGACTGACTTTTGGCAACACGACCTCTCGCTGTGGTTTCAGCACAGCGAGGCTCAGTTTCAGCTGAGAAGAGTAACACAGGATGTTAGGAAATACTGATATGTGGTGGCAGCGTTTGTGGCCTCAATAGCCAGAGCAACGGCTCTGCTGGAGCCTCCACCAGATGTTGACAAGGATGATGCATTCAAGGGGTTCCTTTTGAGGGTCTTTGATCTGTCTAAATCAGAGAAGGCAGACTGACTGCCGTCCCTCAACGGCCTCAACGACTGTAAACCACCTGAAATGATGCGGGCTTTACTGGCCTCGCTTGCTCTGTAATCCTTTTACACCTATAGGACACAATAGACATCGCAGACGCAGTGACGGCCTGCTGCTAATGTGACAACGGGTTGTGTTCCTACAAAGCCACTTTTGACGCCAAGACCAAGCAGTGTTGCAAACCCTGCGGTTTCCTGGGGTCAGGGAAATGCCAGGTCCAGTGCTCATTAGCAGCTATGGATGCTGGCCAGGGCTGCAAGCTGTTGTTACCGACTCCATATCCGGCTGACGTCATCTGATAAAATCCCATGCTCAGCACAGCCAGCAGACACCATGACGTGTAGACACGGTCCCCGGATGGACCCCGCTAATACCATGCCCATACGTACCTATGGGACCGAGTAGATGGAAGTGTTTTTGTGGACACCACATCAGCTGGGCCTTTGTGTCTACGCCACTGTTTGATGCAGACTATCTGTGCCTTTGATTTGCTTGTGGATGTTATGAACTGCTGCCTTATTGATGCTACATACCAATGCTTGGAGAGGTTGGTGCGCTCTACCTGTCAAACACGCTTACTACCAGTGATCCGTATCATCGCCTGCTTGCCAAATTTCCTGACCTCATCAAGCCCACATTCCCGACAGCCGAGGCTAAGCACAGTGTAGAGCACCACATCACGACTTGCAGGCCGCCTCTCATCGCCTTGACTCAGCTAAGGTTATGGTCGGCAAGGAGGAGTTCACCACCACGGAACCCCTGGTCATCGTCTGCTGCTCAAACAGCCCACGAGCCTCCCCCTTGCACATGACCAAGGTTGGCGATTTCCGTCACCTCAGCAATAGCACGACCCACGGCTGACATCCCATGCCACACATACAGGACTTCTCCACAGACCTGGCAGGGGCCACCATCTTTTTCAAGGTGGAACTGGTTTACAGGTACCATGTTGTCTTGAAAAGCACACCCACATGCTTTGTACCAGTATGCAACAGATAGCGATCACAGCCTTCGGCCTTTCGGATTCCTGTGGATCCCTTTTGGCCTCAAGAGGGCAGCACTGATGTTTTGACGCCTTATGGACTTGGTGCTGCTCTCTTTGTCAACTTGGACTTACATCTTGGTGGCCATGGCAGATGTGGAGAGCCACCTGAAAAACCTCCAGTTTAAGCATCTTGTATGATGACCCATAAGAGAGAGATATTCACCAGGAACCCGTAACTTTCAGGGAGGGGAGGGAGTTGACATGAATCTGGGTTCAAATGGATGAGTGACATAAAAGGGTTGAAAGAGAGGACTGTACCTTGATGCTTGCGGTGTCAACAGTCAAGTTTTGTGTGAAAGTAAAAGAGACACGACTTTCCTTCTCCTTGTCAGTTAGCGCATCTCCACAATATGATATAAAGTATGATATAAGGTATTGAATGGAAATCCCATTGCTTTTCTTGTTATTGAATCATACCAACCTTTTGCTTGTCAAGGTTAAAGACCGGAAAAGTGTGATTCCTGCAGCAAATACTGGTTATCTGGGGATCAGTCATGTGACTCTTTGGCAAGGCTTTGAACCTCTCAAGGTAATGTAGTTCATCACTAGTGTCTAATACAATTTACCAACATCTTAACGGTAAATCAATTCGCTTTAGATTTAGATTCTATGTCTCAACTTCAGTTCTGACTCATCTTAAATAAAACCATAGCTATACACGGCCCCGTACCCCCTTTATTTCACCTTGCTGAAGATGCTTCCTATTCAAGGCAGTTAATGTACAGCTCTGCAAAGTCCACCTTTAACCAGATTAACAATAATAATGTATAGATCCCACCCTGTACCTGTCCTACTATTTACTTTTTAGCCATGTCTCTTAAAGGTAACGCAAATAACTCACACGTAGGTTTGCACAGAATTTTGTTTAATACTAAGTTATGGTTGATATTTTGACTATATAGAAGAAAAAAAACAGTACATACCTTTGTGACTGAGCTGGCCACTCACTTTACTTGCATCTCAAATTGTGAGTGAGAGCTGAGAAGCTGCGTGGATGTTTTGGCCTTGGCGTTCTCTGACACTTGTGAGTTGCACACACAGAGCAAAAAAATCGACGAAGCGAGGACTTGAAACTTTAAAAACCCATCGGTTGCGCTCATAAGTCAAGCTACCACTGTACTAGCATCTGATAAGTGTAAACATTGGGTTATTTTGAATGTATTTTTCGATGAAAGTTGAATCGAAGTCCACTGTGCTGTTCTAGGCTAATTGCCGAGAAGAAAGGAGAGCAGAAGCAGAGGCACGTCGCAAGAAAAGAGCATCTTCAAACATCAACCCTTTTGCAGCCATTTCACCTCAAATAGGTGCGTTTTGAACATAGCTTGTATGTAATGAGCGCTAATTGGGCACCACCTTTGCAGTGCATAGACTCAGAAATAGACAAAAGGAATGTTCGCCATAAATATGCATTGGAATGTCCATCCATCCACGCATTTTCTAATCCGTTAATCGTCACGAGGGTCGCGGGCATGCTGGAGTCTATCCCAGCCGTCTTCGGGCATTAGGCGGGATACATCCTGAACTGGTTCCCAGCCAATCGCAGGTATTGGAATGTATTATGTCATAATTGTGTGTTTGTGTGTCTTGACATTTGCTTAAAGCAGACCAACAAAGAGACCTAGCACAGTGGAGATACTCATCAAAGCTGCTGCACTTGAGTGCTCTCCTTCGACGTCCTCCAAGGTTCTTGTACCCGGTCCAGCAACAACTGCAGCAGATTCGTCATCATCATCAGTATCATCATCTACAGCAACATAACTTTCAGCAGCAGCAACAGCATTATCATCATCAACATCATAGTTATCATCACCATCATCATCATCATCAGGAGCAGCACCGTCACCACCATCATCAGCAGCAGCAACCGCAGCAGCATCCTCATCGTCTTCAGCAGCAGCAATGCGTGTCTCGTGAGTGGTGCATCCTTCATGGTTTGTTTTGCACACGCAGAAGTTCCACATTTTTAAACTTGTCACTCTTTTAGGTCTGTTACCCGTCAATGCAACATCTGACAGGTAAAACTTGGACCGTCAATTACTGTGACAGTCAGTTCAGTCAGTGTCACAAATGCCTTTTTCTTTTCAGGCTCCGTCGTCCCATGTTTGACATTGTTCCCACAAGGCACCTGCCGTCAAGCACCAGTGATGATAACGATCATTTCAGAGACCGAAATTCTTCAATGACGCCAAACCGTTACTATGTCCACCAGGATCTGTCCTCTGTACTTGCAGACATACCCAACACCAAATGGCAAGATGAGAGAGAGAAAGGGGCCTTTGCAGAAGGTTGGTCTTTAATATCAACATAGTTCATTTGTACTCACTGTTCCCAAAATTGACTTGGATTGGATTTAGAATTTTATTAGGTAATATTTGGTACATTTTAACGGGATCCAATACAAGTGATGTTCCAAAACCAATGCCTTTACAAGGGTGATCATGTTTAGTTTTGATTGACTGTCACAGGAGTATTAGTTTAGAAATATGATTGTAATTTTTGCCCTGCGTTTGGCTAGCAACCAATTCAGCGTGTGCCCCGCCTGTTGCCCAATGTCTGCAGGGATAGGCTCCAAAATGCCTGAGTCCATTGTGACGATAAGCAGTTCGGATAAGTGACAGGTGCATTGTAATTGTGGTTGAAGTTTGTAGCGGTGCAAACCAAGGATTATATAAGTGGAACCACTATGTGTAATTAATACAAATATACTGCTAAATATTGTGGTTCCACCTGGTACAAGTTAGATCATTCTTTTCTTGTATTTTGTTTAGTTGGATTGCTGAAACATCTACCGTTTCGAGAGATTAACCGTCGAAATCTCATCTCAGAAATCTGTCAGAGGAAGCCTATTTCCCACCCTCGTTTTTTAGTGCCTGTACTAAGGTATCCAGACCTGCAAGGACATAGGTAAAACGTTCTTTTAATCATTGTGAATTGCTGTATTAGCTTCCTGTCGTTCTTGGTGTCATCTTTTTTTTTTTTATTCTCAATTATTGACCAAGCTTCTCTTTTTCATTGTATTTTGCTTGGCCAAAAGACACTTGATGAAATGGCAATCACTGACCAGAAATCACGGCCCATTACACGTACCATTCTTTGAAATCGAATAAACTAAGATGACATCTACTATACATCTCATCGGAGCGCGGAATCTGCCTGCCTGTGCCTCAACGAAATCCACCAAAATTGCATGACACCACATAGGCCACAACTTAGACCTGCTTTTACCTGGTCTAAGTCTACCAAACTGTCCGGCGCGCAGGGGCCGTGAAATACATAACTCCCTCGGTCTGCCAGAATGCCTATTATGGCACAGCACAGTATGTCTTGAATTGATTTAGATGCTCACTGAGCTGAAGTTTTACAAGATATGCTGACATTTTACACAGTCTCATGCGAGGGTGATGGTTTGTGTGAGAACGGAGGCAAGTGTTTCTTTTTATTGGTTGTTCGTGTATCTGCTTTTGGATGTTGTAATGCCACTGTGTTACAAGTTTGCATGGTTAAGAAAACATTTGCATCTTTTTTCATTTTCCCCAGACTCAGCAATTCAACTTTAGAAGACAAAAGACCAAAGATTGTTTTACCACCTGTCGGGAAGCCGTCCACCTCCACAGACTGGCACCATAGGTGAGTGTCGTGTCTGAGGATATCAGGCCCCTAACTCAGGAAGACTAGGTCACTAAAGGCACTGCTCCAGAGAGGCCAGTTGCCACAAGACCATCCCGACCTGCGGCACTTTATACTACGATGTTGGGATTACAGACATTCTGGCCAGTCAATGGAACATCTTTGAATGAACATGAAGGAACATTTGAAAGCTTCTAGTTAACAGGATTGCACCGGTGCTGATGTCATTCATTTTATATGCTGTGTTGTAACCTATACCAACATAACTTGACAATTTGACTTAAATGTCTACAACTGGCGTTATACAAAAATTTTTGTGTAATATTGAGATAATACAGGCGAAGATAACATTCACTGATCACGACATCAAACAGTATACAAATAATACAGAAATTGCATATTTTTTATTTACAAACCATATTACAAAATTGTGTAATATCCTGACAAAATACAAAAAATAAATATGCTTTCTCTTGATAAATCCATTATTTACATTTTACAAAATCAAGACGTGACATCGTGTTGACAGAGTCTTGGAGAAGTTTGAGGTGTTTTGATATGTTCTGATGTGTGTGAAGTGGTTGAAAAAATGTTTCAATCAAACTGGCGAAGATGGAATTGACTTTCTGTGTGTCTGACCAAGTCCCGGAGAGCCACAAAACCCGCAACAGCCTAGAAGATGCAAGACAGAAAAGTAGTTTACTCATGTAACTTGAATGCAAATCACGCATTTACAAAAACGGAGCTGACCCAAGTACTGTACTGGTGTCCCACGATTAAATGAAGCAGCATACCTGCGTGAGGATGAAAAGTGCCAAAACGATGTGAATGGCTCTCTCCAGGGGCTGTACAAGAATGGCTTCATTGCAAAGCTGAAATAGGATTTGTGGCAACTGCAGCAAAATGCTCAGCAGCCAAAATCCAGCCAACTCTGCCACCTTCCGCAAACAGAAAAGAGTATCAAATCTGTTTTAGGTACCTTTTTCTCATTGAAGTAAATGTCCATTTTTCTGATTGTATTGGACAGATCCACAAAATGCAAATTTTTTTTTGGGTGTGCTACCTTTTCGCGCAGATTCCCCACATAGCCAAGATAAAGTCTGATGGCCTCAATTACAGTCATCAGGATGAGGATGGTCATAAGGATGAACTTATAGTAGTCAGGCAAAGCAGAATACTAGTGGGGGAAAAAAGAAATCGTGGTTAACAAACAATAGATAGTTACAGAATTTTTTTCAATGCAGTTCTTTTACTTTTAGATACTTCATCCAAATCAAGCACAGTATTGTGCTGCGTCAGACTCAAAGACTTAATTTTTCAAATGCATGAGGTGGAACTCACAGCAGGATGCCTACACTACAAACAACATCCCCAATAATATCCAGCCGGGGCCCATGTAGACAAACAACTTCACACTGACATCCATGGACAATTTTGTGTCCATGAATCTAGGAGAAGGTGGGAATACCCGAAGAATCTCTTGTGTCATTCTCCCTTGTAAATCAATCTTTGGTGGACAATGTAAACTGAACGAATGTGAGGGCGGAAAAATGCTGATGTCTCTGTGAGGATTCGTGAAGGTAAAGAGTGGGGAATAAACTCTGATTGGTTATTAAAAACAAAACAAAACAAAAAAACAGGCGAATTCAACAGTGTGTGTGTGTGTGTGTGTGTGTGTGTGTGTGTGTGTGTGTGTGTGTGTGTGTGTGTGTGTGTGTGCGCGCGCGCGCGCCGTGAGGGGTGTATGTATGTGTATGAGGTTCTGATGTTTTGTAGTATAAGGCTTCATTTTTTTGTTTGTTTGTTTGTTTTTACTGTGGAGTAAACTGTTTACTATTTAACTATCATCAGTGTTCCTGATATTGGAGTATGATAAGTTTTGTGTAGAAAATGTATGAGTTATCTTTATCTGAGTGTACCCTTTCTTCCTGGTCTGCACCACTTCCTGTCTTATTGATCAAACTGTTCATACTCTGTTGATCAAAATATTCAAAAGGGGCAATGAAAAGTAAATTGATATTGGACTTATTTTCTTTCAACAGTGCAAATGTTTGCTTTTTGTCCTTCAACACAGGCTATAACTCCTACTATAGATATCTGCTGTGACAACAAATTCCACTACTAACAATAACACTACTTCTAATAAGCAGCAACAGAACACCTGCACATTAAATAAGATTTGGCGGTCCAATGAAAAAACGAAAACGTCTCAAGACAGTTTGGCCTGCGACTTGACAACTTTGACACAATTTGGACCTCAGTGAGAACTAATTGAGGAACCCTGCTCTACACCATGAGTGACCAGCAATACTTGTTTTGGATTACTGAACGGATATACAGCCTCCCTTTGGCATTCAATGTCAAATGCCCCACACCCTCCCACCAAGCACATATCTAAGATTATTTTTGTACCCTTATGTTTAGAATAATGTTTAAAACATGTGTTGTAAAAGTTCAATGTGTTCACCGCAACACTATGGACTGACCTAAAGTTCATTAACAACTAATTGCCACTGCCCACATGAACACAGACAAATTACACCTTCACGAACAGTGCAGAAATGTAAAATAACTTATATGTTGAGACATTCTCACTGCACCCGCCGACTTCTTAATTTGGTATTTCTTGAATCTTTTTAGACTCAGTGCACTCCAAAAGAGATGATTAACGGATAACTGCGCTTTTATTCGCAGACATTATGTTAACGTAAGACGTCCACATGTTCTTTCGTACTTTGAGGTGCAGCATGACAATCGCACTGATCCACCACAGGGGGAAGAACCAGATGTTAAAGAACAGAGACATCTGGAGAGGCAAACTGGCCAGAACGCGCCTGTCTGGGGAAAAAATAAACACAGAGGTGAGTCGTATAGTTGATGGCTATAAGTAAAGCTATATGGAACGACAGGTTTGCTCCAAAGAAACAACATTCCAATCGTTAGTCATGTTAGCTCGCTGCTATGCTAGCTGCATTTTGAAGTTACCGTGTGTTGACGACGTGTGGCGCTCTTTAGTGGGAGACTGACTCTGGTCCACAAAGACATTACGAGAAAAATCTTCCAAACGTCTTCGAATAGTGTCTGGTAGGTCCATTGTTTCAAGAGCGATGGTTAACGGAAACAAACAAATAGAAAAATGAGCCTTCCTCTTCCTGTTCGCAGGCGACGCAGGCGGCTCTCGTCCCCATGGCAACGTGGTGCTTGGTTGCTTCGAAACAAAACTGATACATGATACTGTACATTGACACAGTTGAGTTGATTTTTTTTTTTTTTATGTGAAAGATCATCAAACACATTCACTGGATCAGCATAATCATATCATATACACCTGATTGGGGTTGGAAAAGCTGATGATCAAGGGCCACTTTCGATTTTTGAAGTGGACAGTCGGCAGGTAATTTGTCGATGAGTTAAAAAAAAATTAATACATTTACCAATAAAATAATCTATTCTTACTTAGTAAGGTAATGAATCATTATGTTTCTGTTAATTATTAATTCATATAAATTAATTACTAAAAAATATAATTGTAAAATATGTCAAGCTTTATTTTAATAATCATAATCAGTTTTCATTTGACAGTATATCGTTTATATTAATCAACCAGCGGCACGGTGGTCGACTGGTTAGCATGTCCGCTTCACAATGCAGATGGTGCAGCATTTGATTCCAGCTGCGGTCACATGTCAAAAACATGCACTGTCGTTGATTGGACTCTCTTAAATTTGCTGTGGGTGTGATTGTGAGTGAAAATGATTGTGGGCTCTTACTGCCCGAAGACAAGATAGGCTGCGGTACGCCCGCGACCCTTGTGAGGAAAGGGCATCAGATGGATGGATGTTTCATGCTCACACAGGTATTGTGAGAATGCACAGTGAGTTAAAGAATACAAGTAAAGAACATGTGCTGAAGTTGAGTAATGTCAAACATGTCTAAAAATGACTTTTTAGGCAAGGTAATGTTAAGCTCGTGTTCACAGAAAGCAGGTAAGCACCAAAGTAGCCGTCCAATGTGTAGGTAATTAAGACAAATCTCTATCATAGCATGATGGCAGTTTGACCAGACAAGTGACGTGGACTGAAATGCCCCTCCAAACAGATAACCTGTCTATTCATTTATTTATTTACACACACGCGAGCACACACACACACACACACACACACACACACACACACACACACACACACACACAGAGACAGACTTTGCAAGTTTTGTTTAAATCCACCTTTGCACTTTAATAAACAAATCCACCGAGTAGAGACTAAAGGAATTATGCAAGTAATTATCCATGCATTCATCCATTTTCTAATCCACTTATCCTCACAAGGGTCACCGGTCTGCTTTAGCCTATCTCACCTGTCTTCGGGCAGAAGGCGCGGTATACCTCGAACTGCTTGCCAGCCGGGCACACATAGACGAACAACTATTTGCGCTCACAATCACACCGAGGGACAATTTAGAGTGTTCCATTAACCCCATGGATGTTTTTGGAATGCGAGAGGAAAACCAGAGTCCCCGGAGAAAACGCACGCAGGCACGTGGAGAACATGCAAACTCTGCACAGGATGGACAGAGCCGAGATTCAAACCCTGAACCACAGATGTACTCCCCACTAGTAGGACTGCGATGCTTGATGATCTATCTTTATTCTGGCTTCATGGTATTTATAGCAGTAGTTGTATACTGTATAGAGATTATTTTAAAATACAATACAAATGTAGCCCAAAGACAATTTACAGCCCACATGGCTATACATTCACAGTTGTTCACAAATCACAATAAAACGACAATAGTACATTCAATTTGACACAGCAGAAAGCAGCGCCAGCGCCACAGAGTGTAGGGTTTCCTTTTCAAGTCTGTCAGATGACAGATTCACAGGAAATGTTTGTGTACGAGCGGTCCATAGTGTCGTAGTACCGCAGGCAAGCTTTGTACTGAAGAAGTTTCTCTGTTAGTGGGCTGATTGTCAACGGCTTACCCCGCACGCTGAGATCCATGTACCTGGGAAAGGAAAACACTCTTAGAAGTTTTAAAAACAACTGGCAGTACCTTAGATTCAGATAATCTAACCATTCTGGACGTATAGTGTTGCAACAAATACTAATATAAATTTGACCTGCCTTTCACGACAACTTAATGACGCCCGGTAGCTCACAAAAATGAGAACACCCCCTCACTTTTGGGAAAATATCAACCCCAATCATCTGTGTAGTTGCTTGCCAAGCTCAGCCATACTTGTGGCAATGAAGTTACAACAAATGGTGCCGTGATCAGGCAAATCCAATGAGTAATGGCAGATGTGCCTTGGTTGTCTGTTGAAACGAGATGGGTCTTGTTGTAACAATAAAAACAAAAGAAGATAAATAACATGACAATGTACAGAGAATGATATTTATCCTTTATCAGCCACCCTCAACTGGAACCCAGAGGTGAAGACCGTACCCCCACTATCAGGAGAGGGACGGTCTGTCGCTGACCCTTCCCACAATGCAAAATCCAAACCTGCTACCTTTTGGCGAGGAGACCACTCTTACAGCCAGAGCCTCCATTTATAATGCACTGTAAAGAATGCAACTAGCTGAAAATTATAAGTCAGTGCATTCTCTTTGCCATAATGATTTGGTGAAGGTGGATCTGCCACATGTCGCACTTCGGTGTAATTCCCACTACCTGTGAGATATACTCCAATACACCAGAGTATTTATCGTCATCAGCATGGCCATGAAGAAGAAGAATCTCTCCAGATTTCCATCATGCAGGACGCTTGGATAAAAGGACCCTGTAGTCAAGCGTTGCTCTGTGTCAAATGTCAAATTTATTCCACTTTGAAGGATTGAAAGGACTGCCACTATGAGCATTTGTTCACCTCCAGACATGAAGTAGACCACCTGAATGCAGATGGCTCCTACAAAGCATCCTCCCCCATAGGACAATGTGAGGAAGTGTAGGGAGATTCCTCGGATGTGCCCAGGGGTCAGCTGGAAAGAGATGAGGGAGCCTGCCGTAGAAAGCAGAATACATACTTGTATATTACATGATATTATCTTGAATAAGCTGCTCAAACAAGTCTCCACAATTGTCTGCCTTTCACTCACACGCTGGAGTGACCAAAGCCTCAGCTAGTCCAAGTAGGATATATTGTGGTGCCAGCTGGAAACATGGCATGGATGATACTTGCAGAACCTTCCCGGAGAGGGTTTGCTCCACCAGGGGGAAAGACTTCCTGCGCAGCTCGCACAAACCTGCCACCAGGATGGACAGAGCGGCACATGCATGTCCCAGAGCTGTAAGGGGAGGATTAGTTAGGGTGGGGTGATGAGACAGAGGGCTGCAGAATGGGAGTTGCAAGACAAGTCATTTCAAGAGAAAAGAGGGAGGACAACAGAGGTAGAACAAAGAGAGACATATTTAGATGAAGATGATGAAGCACTGTGTTGCATCACTGGCGGTGTGCAGAGGCAAGTACTCACTAATTACTCTTGTGGGTGCCAGAGGAGTTTTTGCCATGGAGAGAGAGCAGCTGTTCACACACTCGATCAGCGGGGCTAACATGAGAAGAGGTAAAATGCTGATCACGTTCATAGTGCCGATGGGTAACAGGACGTCACTCAGGTGGAGGTTGGAGTTCATCGCCTGTAAGTAATATCCAGAGGGGATCTGTATGGAAACACAGTGGGCATAGAAGTGATCCACCTTTGTACTGTGCACTTGAAAAACTACGCTAACCTTTCTGAAAGTGAGAGCTACTTCTTGGGGACTTATTCATGTAAAGGGCTAACAGTTTTATACACACTTCTGGAAAAAAAAAGTTCAAATAACCTTAAATTACATGTTGAATGTGAAAACAATGAGCATGTTCATGATTTCTCACAATAATTACATTGGTCAACAATGTTTTAATCAGAGATGCAAGTAAACTATAAATTACAAGATGTGGTGTCCCTTGGTGTGATTGTGAGTGCGAGTGTGAATGGTTGTTGTGTGTCTATGTGTGCCACGCGATTGGCTGGCAACCAGTTCAGGGTCTTCCCCGCCTGCTGCCCGAAGACATCTGGTATAGGCTCCAGCACGCCCCGTGACCCTTGTGAGGATAAAGCGGATCGGAAAATGAATGGATGGATGAAAATATCCCAAAAACTTGATGTGATGTGCTCGGTAAATAGCTAAGACATGTTTTAAATCAGCATCAAAACTACATTTAGGGACACATAGAGACATTTCTGATTAAGATTTGCTGTTGACCATTGTTATCAAAACTGATTAGCATGGTTAGAAACAGATAAATATGAATATTCTACAGCTATGCGTTATTTATATAAAGCACTGCAAATATTAACATTTTTCAAATGATGATCACGTCACTGGTGAGTTCTTTTTAGAACAGGCCCAAGGGCTCCTCATGTGGTCCTTGTGGCGGGCACCACATTGGTGACCTCTGCTTTAACTTAGCGACTTGCCTGAGTGACACAGGCTCTGTATATCAGTTGGAGTCCATAAAGTGGGAAGAGCTTGGCCAAGACTTTGACATTCTCTACGTGAGTCTCACTGTAGCGGCCGCCATTGTTCTCCTTGGCCCGGTCCAGCCAAGATGGCACATCTCCACTGAGGTGGCGATAGTGAAGGCAGCACATCTTGAGAGAGTTCAAGAAAACTCCAAGCGTGGTCAGTAAGGAGCCACCTTTGACAGAAACAAGACGACACCGGTGAGGTGCCATGTAGGTCAAAATTAATATTTACCTCTCATACTCATCCCCATTTGTATGCTTGAGTACCTAAAACTATTGGGGAGGTTGTTTTTTCTTTTTTTAGTTTTTTTTTGTTATGACCTTTCAATTAGACAAAAAAAGTTTAACAAAAACATTCTAAGCATGATATTAGATAAAATCAGGGGTCTTCAATACTGTTCCTCGAGGGCCAGTTTCCTGGATGTTTTATTATATAGTTACATAAAAATGTATATATATGTGTGTGTGTGTGTGTGTGTGTGTGTGTGTGTGTGTGTGTGTGTGTGTGTGTGTGTGTGTGTGTGTGTGTGTGTGTGTGTATTATCAAGATCGTTTTCTGGCTTCTGCAGAACTTGCTGATTATCTGATCATGTGAATCAATGCATCAGGGAGAGATAGAAAACAGACAGGACAGCGGCCCTTGAGGAACAGGGATGAAGATCACTGGATTATACGAAAATAGTGGAAAAATAAACTAAAAAAAAAATCACCAAAGATATTCCTATGACATAATCAGAATATTGATAAAGTGTGTTCTTTTTACCTTTCTTGGGTTTGTAGGTGAGTTTGTTGCGCATCATGTGTATGGCAATGAGTGCCAGAAGTGCAGAGGTAAAAGGGATTAAGAAAGCCAAATTTTTGGCCACAGATTGCTGGATGTAAGCAATACCCAGAAACACAACCGTGGAATTCAGATTAACCAACCAGTAGAACCTAAACGCAGTAAAAACAAAAATCACACATGTCTTCAAGCATTCTTTTTCCATTACGTTTTGCTTTCCGTCATTCGGCTAAAATTCCTTCCTCTAATGTTGCATGAACAAATTGCTGGTTTTAATTTGAGATATATATTATGTGCACTTATGTTCACCATTTTAAACAGGTACATTGTCATGCTGTGTTTTAATCATAAATATTCCTTCAGGTGGGGAAGAATAAAACAAGCTCTCTAAAAAAAACTACTTAACGTCATATTTTTCCAAAAATTATCACACATTGCAATTACAGTATTCTCTCTGTCTCGCCACTAAATGATACATCCCAAGTTCCTATCTATAATTGTTCCACTGCTAACGCAATAGACAAGTTTATGTACTGTAGATGCATCACATACCAGTTGAAGAAACCCAGTAGCTGGTATTGATTGTAGCTCTGCAAGTTGTATGCTCCCAAGGGACAGAGAATAGCCCGGATGCCGCCAATGCCCAGCGCAGCAGCCAGGAGGCCGGTGTAGAACAGGGCCTGCTGCTCTTGAGGTTCTAACTTGTGACTCATATGATGAATGTCAATGTAGAAATCTTCAAAAGGGAATGCTACCACAGGTAACATGGCCGTGCCTACAGAGATAACAATTGACGAGTCACTGTATTTGCAAGTCAAAAGCGTCAGAAATATTGAATTGGATATGAGGTCAAAGGGTAATTGTAGGGATCAACAGAATTTACAGTGCTGTGAAATAGTATTTGCCCCCTTCCTGATTTCTGTGTTCTTTGCATATTTATCACACAAAGGTTTCAATTCATTAAACCAATTTTATTATTACACAGGGTTTACCCAAGGAAATACAAAATGTAGTTTCTAAATGCCAATTTAATTTATTAAGGCACACACAAAAAAAATAAATCAAAAAGTACCTGTCCCTGTGTGAAAAAAAGCAATTGCCCCCACCCCCTTGTTGAATCACAAAGTAACTGTGACCAAAGTCAGGTTTGGGAAAGCTGAGTTCAATATCACAGTATCACAGGCAAGCACCACATTTGTTGATTAAACAAAAATCACATAAATAGAATCTGTCAGACAAAGTGAAGTAGTCTACAAGATCTCAAGAAACAAATGCATCATGCCATGATCTGAAGAAATTCAAGAAGAAAAGTTATTGAAATCTATCAGTCTGGAAAAGGTTACAAAGCCATTTCCAAGATTCTGGGGCTTCAGCAAACCGCTGTCAACTTGCTTTGATTGATGGGACAATGACTCCTGCTGTCTACAGAAATTCCTGAAGGTGAACGTCCGAAAAACTCAAGCGCTCTTGGATCATGCAGCAGAACAATGTTATGAAACACACCAGCAAGTCCACCTCTGAATGGCTAAAAAAACCAAAATTTTGGCGAGTCCAAGTCAAAGTCCGGATTTGAATCCAATTGAGATGCTGTGGTGTGACCTTAAACGGGCAGTTCATGCTCCAAAAACCTCCAATATGGTGAAGTTGAAGCAATTCTGTGAAGCAGAGTGGGACAAAATTCCTCCACAGCGATGTGAAAGACTCATCGCCAATTATCACAAACGCTTGATTTCACTTATTGCTGCCAAGGATGGCACAACCCATTATTAGGTTCAGGGGACACTTACTTTTACACAAAGGGACAGGTAGGTTTGGATTTATTTATTATAGTTTTTTTTTTGGTCTAAATAAATTATATTGGCATTTAGTTTTCTTTGGGTTGTCTCTGTGCGATATTAAAATTGGTTTGATGAACTGAAATCTGTGTGTGTGATAAATATGCAAAGAACACAGAAATCAAGAAGGGGGTGAATACTTTTTCACGGCCCTGTACTCATATACAGTGAAACCACAATTCATTCTTCAATTTTTGTCTGTGAATAAGGACATTCCTAAACGAGGATCCACTGTCCGTGATTTTAGAAAACAAAAGAAAAAAATGCTCCGAAATTCACGAGTTAAAACCCTGCCAAAATTTGAACCTTCTCATTCTAGAACAAGCAAAATAAATGCCCACTGCGTCTTACCAAAGAAATGGAGAAAAGCGCACAAGTAGAGCACCTTGGTTCTTCCTAGGCAGGTTTCGGCAAACCAGTCAACCAGCACAGGGGTGAGGGTGCTGGCTCCTATGAAGCACAAGTTCACTGTTGCAGCCAGGTAGTTGTCGTAGCCAAGCTTTACAGTGCAAAAAAGGATCATGTTGCATACAATGCCAAAAAATGTGAATCTTTCACAAAGCTCCACCAGCAGAACACAAATGATGACTTGAAGCTTCTTGCGGCCCCCAGGTAATGCTCTCTGGTCCGGATGAGCTGTCTTGGAGAGCCGCCGAAGGTGGTGTTTGCCCTCGGACAGTCTCTGAATGTCTCCTGCCACCATCCTGCCTGTAAACTGTTTTCCCTGCTCCCTCGTGGAATGGATGTTGTCTGTGAAACTGCACAGCTCTGAATGTGACATCCAGGCCTTCTCTGAGAGGAGCAGCTGAGGCCAGGGGCTGGGCTGAGTGGTCATAGAAAACGTGAGACGCAACCGTGTTCTACACGTGCTGGTGGCTGACGATCTTCACCTTTTATTACCTTACTGATTAAGAGTGTCAGACGTTTGTCTCGCAGTCATCTGACACATCATGAAAACGAGAAGTGATAGATAGAAACAATTTAGAGAGCAGCTCAGAAATAGTTCTATGATGACCAACAAGAATCATGCATTTGTTTTTTTTTTTTGTTCTTCCGGTCAAACAGCTTTTCCTGCACTCCTACATTTAATGTAGTAAACTTTGAAAGATTGCACCAAACATAGGAATAAACATGTATAAGAATTTACAGTAATGCAGATCCCTTCGATGCAACAATAAAATATCCTTCCCTTTCACACATAAGAGGCACTCACCAAATGCCACAAGTCTTTGTCGTAACAGTCCAAACTCATTGTGGCATGCTTGATGTATTTAGGGTGATGATGTGAAGTGCGAGTGAGACAGAGGGCACACCAAGCTGGCCTGAACTCCAGTAAAACAGCCTGCTGCCTTCCATGAATCAGTATATTGTACCTGGGGTTAAGGTGAAGGTTAAACAAGGTCACAGGTCTATGTGACAGGTCTGAAATACAACTGCCCTATTGCAAATATTGCATCTCTTTTATTTTTATAGACAACACGACTGTAGCTGGGGTGCTGTAAAACTGTTACTGACAGTTGATGTAAAAAGTCTACACACGCTTGTTCAAATTTTAGGTTTTTCTGACATAACACAATGAGATTGAGACACCCTTTTAAAAAAAACAGCATTAATGTGACCCTCAAACTGTACAACTCTACTGAAATAAAAGTATTTTCAAGAGATGTAAAATACAAACACTTGAGATAATGTGTCCACACCCTCTAACAGATGGGGATGTGGCTGTGTTTAGAATTAACCAGCTGCGTTCAAATTTACACTAAATGTGAGACAGCACACACCTTGAAGTGCCTCTGATTCACTCCCCAAAAAGTCACTTGTTCTAGTAGCCCTTTCCTGACATTTTTGTGCTTTCTTGCAGTAGCCTGAAACATGGTGATCATCTATGAACTAAAATAAGTGTGCAGAAATTATACAATAGACAATAGCTTTTAAAATAAAATACTTCAAATCTATAGGAGCTAATACGAGAGTTTAATTATAATAGTCACCCACATTTTTGGCCAGGAAATAAAACTACCATTTAGATATAATTTACAATATTCATATATTTTTAATGTTGCGTTTGAATGTATTAGCGTTCAGTACTTGACCCTGTTTTTCTAGTAAAATGTATTTTTTACAAGAGTTTGTGGAAGTGTGTGTGTGTGTGTGTGTGTGTACAGCACATTTGACAGTAAAGTTGTAAGTTGTACTTGATACTTGATATATATATATATAT